CAATTTTTTTGAAAAGTCGCATACTTTTTTGAATATGCGTGGAAATATATGTATATGTTACAAATTCTTTTAAAGAAAATAACATTGTACAGCTAAATATATTTTTTGTCGGCATTTATATTCAAAAAGTTTCTAAAAAATCTTTGATCATTGTTCAAGATATGCATAAGTCACTGATTTCTCAAGATCAATCCAAAAAGATTATATTTAATTCTACTGTTTGAATTAAAATCTAAATATACAAATTATTTCTCAATCACGATTAATTTAATTCTACTGTTGAACTCTTTAACTCAAAGACAAACGTTTGCAACAAAATTATAAAAATAATATTTTCTTAAAAGATGTCAAGTCTTAAATTTTTGCAGTATAATCGTCAATCGTCTAACTTTAAATATTAACTAATCACAAAACATCTATGTAAAAATAAAGACAGATATTTGTTATGTATATTGTACAAGATATCCCATAGAAAAATGCTGAAACTAATCAGCTGTCATTTTCCAATGCAGTTATTGAGAAAACAAAACTTGTGTTGAAAAGAGGAAATTCTGCAGTTTTTAATTCATTAAAAAAGATAATCATAAAAAGGAATTTTTATGATTACGATTTATGATTTATGTGTGAGGTCAATTTACACTTTAGATAAGCCATACGCGGCAAATACATATATACATACATTATAAGAGGACAATGTGTTTAATGAAAGGTTTGGTAGCAATGTTTGGGCGAATAATATCGGAGATATTAGAAGGGAATCTTGAACACGCGGGAATGAGAAACGAGCCGGTGCACGTGGATGCGGATGCAACGAAGAGGGCTAACGCCCCGATGCACACACGCGATCTTTAAGCTCAGCTTAAGACGGGATCACGCGCAGCGGGTGCTTAAATGTTGATATCATCGCGGCACCGATCCCGATGTCCCGGTAGCTGCGTCAATACATATATATATATATATATATATAATATATAAAAATGTATAATGAAATTATTAATATATTTAAATATATTAATAATTAATACTCTATTTCTCTATATATAAATATTTTATTATTTTAAAAATAATTAATTATTATTTTAATAAATGATTTATAATAAATTTATTATAATTATTAAATAAATTATAATTAATAATATATATATATATATATATATATAGATATATATATAATATATATAAATTTTATAAATTATTAAATATTTAATAATATATAATCCTAATGATTTATTATATATATATATATATATAGAAAGTCCCATTTGAATATGGTATATATCCCCCATTAAGTTCGATAAAAAATATTATAATTCTCGCGCACAAAAGATCAGCGGAGATTGACTCGGGATTGTGGTCCAAAGCACAGGGGCGAATTGATCGAGAATGATACGGGGGAGCTAAGATGATCGGCGGATCATTCGAGCTTACCGTATTTTACTCGACATCACTTGGGAAAATAGTATAATGCGAGATAATGCCAGAAACGAGCGAGCTTGTCGAGAATATGACGCCGAAACGCTGGTCGAAGAAAATTATAACGCGCCGTAAGTTCGTTAAGAGAGGTCGACGTATGTCGGCCACGATTATAAATTCAAGTATAAAACTTATAATCGTGTTTGTTTTAATTAGAGCCGCAGCATGCGCCGGACTCATTTAAGACGCGGAGTTTACGTCGGTTTTCACTCTCTCTCTCTCTCTCTCTTCGAGTTTTCTCTCCCTCTCTCTTTTTCGCGCCTGCCTTCTGTTAATTTCACGTAAGGCATTAGTGCGTTAATAAACCGTTATTTATTGACGCGCTCCGCGATTATTTACTTCCAACGTCCTGCTGCATTTTCCCCGCCTGCTTTTCTATCTCTTAAATTAGACGACGCGAATCCACGTGGTATTTCTTCAATAAATGCAACGCGAAGCTGTGCAAAATTTATTAAAATAATCGTCTCATTAAAATTATAAGTTTCGCATAATAAATACACTGTAAAACAATTTATTGAATTTGAATAAGTATTTATTTCAATAAATCATTTATTTGAAATATTAATATATATATATATATATATATATATATATATTTGATATATATATATATATATATATATATATGATTTGATTTGATGAAAAGTATTTATTTAATATAAGAAAATTCTTTTCAAATCAAATAAATATTTATTTGTTTCAAATAAATGATTTATTAGGCAATATTGAAATAAAAATTTATTCATTTAGTCATATATATATCATATCGTAAAATATATAGAAATTCTTTAAAAATTGACGCGAATGACACAACAAGCCTTTACGTCAAACTAACCCATATATGTCTAATTTTAGCAACTTACTTAGCCGGAAAGTGCGCGTTTTTTTTTTTTTTTTTTGTGTGAAGGACGATTTGATTATACTTAGAGATTTTTACGCTTCGACTTCGCTTGGGGACTTGTTTATTCCTTGTATGATGTCGTTCCTCGCGGTTTATCTCATTCGAGGACAGAGATTTTACGCGGATAAATTTCAAATCCGATCTCGCGCATCGTTTCGCATCGTGCAAAGCTTAGCTGGTGAAAGGAACCCCTTTAGCTGCTCTCGGGGTGCTATGTGTGCGATGTCGCATACGATACAAGAAGGCAAGATGGTGTGTAATCACCCGCGGATTAGAGCGACGACATTTTCGTGACGTTGCATGATAGTGGCTCGGAGCAGCTACATATTCGATTCCTTTCAGTCTTGCTTTAAGAAATCTTTTCGAGCGTTTAGTTGCAATACACGTGGTTACGATGACAGACATAAGTTTAAGAAGCTTAAGGAGCGAGAGCAGATTTATAAGGTTGAAAGACGCCAAAATTGACGAGCAGATAACTTTTGTTCGCAAAAATTGTTTAAATATTTTAAAGAAGTTTTTTAGTGTTGTATAACGATCTGTTAGATGACAATAATATATATTTTGAGCAAAATGGCTCACAATCAGTTAAATAAATAAATAATTATTCATACAAATATAACATAATATATTCATATTAATATACTTTAGATTCAAAAAATTGCATAAACTTATAAAATAAAAAATTGTATATACTTACTGTAAACTTATAAAATAAATTAATGCAGGAATTATTAACTGCGACATTATACGTGATTATAAAATGTTATGTTTTTAATGTTTATAAATAAAAAGTTACTTTATGCTGATGGATTAAACACGCAGCTACTATTTATACATTTACCACGATTTCGTGTCGATGATTAATAAACCGATAGTTGGTAAGCAAATTTATTTTACAAGCTTTTATATCGGTAAAGGATAATAATTAAAGAAACAAATGTTCGAGCATCGATAATGTTTTAGGATATAGAAATTGGTTATAATTTATTTATTCATTTAATTCAAATCCTCAAGATAACGACTTTGCTTCGAAGTAATATGTATTAATGCAAATTAAAATGCAAACTTTTATAAATATATAAAATTTTTCTCTTGTGGAAAATTCGTGTTGACAAATAAATTATGTATTAACAATGTAATCTCATTATTTACTACTTACCATTGCAGTAATGTTAATATCACTGCATTGTACAGCAATTATTATAATAATAATTCATATATAGTGAACAGATAATATTAATTTTGATTGATAAAAAAAATTAATATAATAATCTATATTTTGCTTTTAATTTTTGTGTACACGTAAAAAATTTTTTTTCGTATTTTTCTATCAAAAATTATATAATCAATTGTTTTATTAAAAATTGGTTACTCATTTATTTTAATAAAAATTTATTAATTATTGTTTAATAGCAATATATTCTTCTGAAAGTAGAAATATTTTTTATAGAATAAATAACCAAATTGAACAATAAATAGAAATAATGTTGATATTGATATTATGAATTACTTGTATATGTACATGTATACGCACATTGACGCAATCATGTATATTCCAACATTAAATAATTACCCCGATTTGTTTTAATCTGTTCATTTTATGATATATAATGAATTTGTAAAGTATATAATATATAATAATATTTCTGTATATTCTTAGCGCAAATCTTTGATATTTTCAAATACAACTTTTATAATTTGTTAAATATGATTCCAAATTAAATAATGAATGAAATTTTATTATTACAATTAATATTATTGCAAATTGAAATGCAAACTTTTATATGTATATATACATTAATAATTGTCAAAAAATACTTGATTAAATTATTTGATTGTTAACGTTTCTAAATATTTGTCGTTTCATAGATCCATCTCATACATACATCTAATAACTTTTACAAATCCATTACCTTTTTAATGAAAATAGAAAACTCACCGGTGCGATGCGTTGCAGCGGAGTTACACAGCGGCGATGATCTGTGAAATATACAAATATATCTATTTCATCCAAATTGAAGCAAGTCTCCAAGCTATAATATATTTTCCTCGAAAAGTAATTATTGACATTTTCCACTTATTGAGGTATTTTAGAAACAATAATAAATAATTATTCACCTGATGGTTGCCTCGCTCATGTCTGCTCCTTCTCTCTGAATTATTTCATCGTTATTGCTCTTTTCTTTGGCACTCGCGCGCTCACTCGCGAATATAACATCGATTACAATTACGCGAGAACAATTAATTACGACTACGCAATTAATAAACGCGCGACACTTCGCACGACACTCCCGACACTTTTACGGCGGGCTCCAATATAGCGGGAAGAAAACGCGGTAAAAGCGGGCGCGAAACTGAACGCTCGCGCCATCTCGCGGTGTCTCCACAAACTAACCTCGATCGACTCTCGACGCGTATCGAAGTTGTTACGTCATGCCGGAATCGATATCGAAATAACGCGAGACAGATCAATTTTGAATCGCGATGCGCTTTCGTCAACAGAACTGGAATCATACTTGAATATTTTCGCGACTGCGTATATGCGTACATAAATACGGCGTTCGGCGACGCGCGGCGTATTGTTTTGGTCGCGAGGTCACGCGTCGCGTTGTCATTCGCGCGGCGACAGTCGAGCGGGTCAGTCGACGTTTGACAGCTCGTATTTAGTTTCCGAGACGCGATCGCAAGAAACAGCACGTCGAACACGATTATGGTAACAGTGAGTGATTATAGTGAGTACATTAACCCACGTAATTACTTCATTCGATTGAATAATTAAATGCACCACGTGAATTTATGTGTAAATCTGTGTGTCCCATCATATATATATATATATATATATATATATATATATATATATATATATATATATATACGCATTTATTATGTACTGACAATATATATTATAAACATTCAATCTTGTTGTGTAGTATATAAATGCAGTGTCTGTGTTTATGTGATCGTTTATGACTTCTTCGAATCTCTGCACGATGCGAGGTTAGTTTCGGAAGACAGCGCGAGATGTCGCCAGCGTTCAGTTAGCGCCCGCTTTTACCGCGTTTTTTCCCGCTATATTGAAGAGATATTGCAATTATCAGGTAAACAATTATTTATTATTATTTCTAAAATAGCTCAATAAGTGGAAAATGTCAATAATTACTTTTTAAGAAAAATATGTAGTTTGGAAATGTTTGCTGTGTAAATTATCGGTGCTGTTCATCGTACCGATGAATTTTCTATTTTAATTAAAAAGATAATGGATTTGTAAGAGTTATTAGATATATATAAAATGTATCTATGAAACGACAAATATTTAGAAACGTATTTAAATATTTTTTGACAATTATTATATATAAAAGTTTGCATTTAAATTTGCAAGAATACTAATTGTAATAATAAAGTTTTAATTATTATTTCGATATATATAACATACTTGACATTTTAAGTCATTAATTAATTTGGAATCATATTAATAAAATTATAAAAATTTTATTTGAAAAAAATAAAGATTTACGTTAAGAATATATAAAAATATTATTATATACTTTACAATACTATTGTATCGATAAATGAACAGATTGAAACAAATTGGGCTAATTATTTAATGTTGTAATATACATGATTGTATGAAAATGTGCGTGTATATGCACACATACAAATAATTCATAAATTTAACATTATTTCTAATCATTATTCAATTTAGTTATTTATTCTATGAAAAATATTTCTAGTTTGAATATAATTGATATAAAGTTCAGAAGAATATATTGATATTAAATAATAATTAATAACTTTTAATAAAGTAAGTAATTAACAAATTTTTAATAAAACAATTTTTGATCATATTATTTTTGGTAGAAAAATGCAAGAAAAAATTTTTACATGTACACAAAAAATAGAAGAAGAATATAGATTATTATATTAATTTTTTTATCAATCAAAACTAATATTATCTGTTCACTATATGTATATAGATTATTATTAATTGCTGTACGATGCAATGATATTAACATTACTGCAATAAATTGGTAAGTAGTAAATAATAAAATACATTGTTAATACATAATTTATTTATCAACACGAATTTTCCATAAATATATCATATATCAATATTTATCGCATATATTTTTTGGCTGCATATATCTTCTTACAAGAAAGTGTCTGTGTATGTGTGTGTGTTGTGTACATACGCACATATACATATATACACATGTATATATTTACACACATATATATACATATACATTAATTTTCTTCATCGATGTTTTAATATAATTGCTTTGTACTAATCTGCATCTATAAACTCACAATATGATTCTCGTGCCATGTATTTTTATTATTTTTGCAGATTGTACTTATTTAGAGAATACATTCAATAATTTAAAAAATTAAAAATTCAATATCTAATATTCTGGCAAATACCATGTGCGTCCCTTATTTAATCCTTGTAAACTTCTTAACGACAATATATATGCAAATAAAAATGTGATAAATTTCTACAATACAGCATCTGCAATATACACGTGTAACAGATAAAAAAATATTTGTGTACATCTTTATAAAACAGAATCATTTAGTTTTATTTTATACACTTTTTTTTTACTTATAATAAATTAATGTATCATTTTTCCTGAGAAAAATTTATTAATATTATACAATTAAATTTTAACATATATCCTTATTCGAAATCATGCAAAAGTAAAATTATATTGTGAGTCCGAACGGATGCGATTGATAATCAGGCTCATCAGCTGTGCGGTTGATAATCAGGTGAACCAATAGTTAATTGGTTGAAAACAATAAATACCTTAAGAAATTATTTAGCCTCTTTTGTAGATATGTCCAGATATGTTTTTAAGTATTCATATTATTAATAATAGAATCTTTATTTTGTACTTTTTCTTATATTCATCCTAGTTTCGAAAATATTCTGTTTATAATCAATCTGCAAAAATATATTGACAAACAGGTATATGTACTTATGCAGTCACACAATTGTAGTGACGGTAAAAATTATTAATTCAATCTGATAAAGCCAAAAAATTGGTCAAATACAAGTTAATTATAAAATAAATTATTATAATTATAATTATTATTATTATTATTTTAATATAAAAAATTATTATTAAATATTATTTATAGACATTTATAAAAGTATTTATATAATAATTAATTAATAATAATAATTAATAATAAAACAATTAAAAATAAATAAAAAGTACACCAAATTAATATGTTATTGTGAAAATAAGATTACACACAAAGTTATATTATTAAATAAAAATTATATAAAAATATATAATTAATGCTATTGTGCAGTTTCGTTAAAATTCTAATAAAATATCAATTTATATAATTCGCGCACTGCTAAAGTATATTCCCATAAGTCACATGGCATTTGTCTTGCAAGAGTATATATATATATATATATATATAGAGTCTCATATGTCTTGTTAAATATATCCCGCTACGTGACAGACTATGACTCTCGACCAGCAAGAGTGAATTTAATTAACGTCATTTTCTTTCTTTAAAATCTACTGCTTTTTCCAGATTTTTACGGATAGAGTTAACAGCAATATGCATATACGTACGCAACAATATTTTATAATGTCCGCGCTAGAGACGAGACAGTCACGTCTGATTACACTAATGAATAGGAAAGGCAGTGCAAACGTTGATTCTACCGTATTATCTCGAAGTCAGCTTGGCAATTAATATTTTCTAATGTTTGACATTTATCTGAGGAAACGAGAACTACGTACTTTCTTCTAGAATAATTATATTTATAAAATTTTTTTTATTTTATCAGAATTCATGGGAGGATCTCATCTAAAAATGGCAATAGGTCCTATTCGTTTTTACATCTCTCATTAGGTCTCTATATGTGATATAATGTGTCGAATCTTGTAATTTATTTACGTCTAAATTACTGATGAATCCCAAAAATGACTTCGAGACAATATCATTATCTCTTATAGTACATTAGCTAATTAGATTGATATCGCGCATAGTAAAACATCAGCTGAACAGTGATAGCAGCTGAATATGCTCTCGAAAACAAATTTTAATCATAATTTTACATACAAAAGAATTCTGCGAATCGTGACAATGTCGAGAAATAATATAGCGTTTAAAGTTTCAAGGTACCAAAATATTTGCTGAATTGATCGTTAAAGACTGTAGTACAGGAAGAATGAAATCCATAAGTTTCTAAATTCGCGGTACATCCATAAATATTTGCAAACATAGCTTAATACAGACATATATGCACAGTAGAAAAATTTGTGTTTTCTTGTTAAAAACGGTCCTCGTGAAAATTTTTGTGTTAAATATTTAACACATTTATGTGTTAATTTAACATATTACTGTTCTGTTAATTGAACTTAAATGTTAAATTATTAAAACAACTGAAAAAAATGTAAAAATAACACACCGTGCAACTGTTTTTAATTTTACACAATAAATGTGTTTTGTTTTATTAGTGACAAGATTTATCTATTATTTAAAATTTATAGAAAAAATTGTTGATTTTCTATTTTATAATATGAGTGGGGATGATAAAATCTAAAATTAATTAATATTTTTGTTAATTTTTACATTAAAAGTATGTTAATTTTACAGACAATCTATTTTAAATTATTTAAAGTTTTGCATTTATTTTGTGTTAAAATTATTTGTATCTCCATTTAACATATCCATATTACGTTAAATTAACAGAAAAATTTCTGTGGACCGTTTGGGACATGTGATATCTGTGAAATTTACCAGAAATTTTTCAACTGTGCGGATGTGATCAATGTATTGCGCGCACGTCTAAACGATTGACAGCGATGATGACTGTCTTTATCCCATTTAACATTAATTATCTAACGATACAACACTGTCTATTAAATATTTATATATTAATCACAGCAATACACGTATGTACCTACATTTATAACCAACGTCAGGTATATTATCAACATAGAAACATCAGCTTAATCACTTTATTATGCTACACGTAACACACGGTAGCACTAATTACGCTAATAAAGCGGACAAAAGATCTTGCGCATTCTACATCCTTCATCCTGGGATAACTCTATACAGACACGCTAAAAGTATCGCCCAAAGTGTTCGTACCAGAATATCTTCTCTTTTTATTAATATTTGTTTTCTAATAGAGAAAAGCCTTTTGCCTTAAAACGACATCTTATTTTTCTGTACGAAATTATCCCAAGAACACCTGGACGCAGAGTATAGGCAAATGCCGCTTTATCCACTATATTAATCTTGTAAATGTGAGCATGTTTTTTACGCGTACGTGTATGTGTTTTTTTTTTGCGCGTAACTGCGACGCGTATAAGTCTACATAAGTTTATATATCGTTGATACCACTGATTGTACGATTAGGATTTGTGCCGAGCACAAACAAGCAATCACATTCAAGATTCTCGCGTTATATTTGCCATCGTCTGCTTCGAATTACTTACACTAAAAGCAAGCCGAAGTCTCAAAATATATTTGAGCTTGCAAAATTATTGAATATATCTTTTCTCAAATTTATACCTCATATCGGGTCTTATTACTCTTTTCTACTCTTCTTTTCTTGCTTGTACATTATTAAAAAAAAACTATTCTACTTCGCTAAAAAAATTTTTAGCTTGAAAATCTTATAACCTGACAAAATATTTGTTATAGAGAGAGAGAGAGAGAGAAAGAGAAAGAGAGAAAATTTCAAAAATAGTATTTTAAAGAGCTCCTATTTTTTGCTCTTTAAAATTTTTGGAAATATAATTTGCTTACAAGATTGCATCGAATGAATAAATAAGATATCTTGTTTCTAAAAAGTGTAATAGAGTCGAAATAACTTTTTTCTAAAATTTATTATAACTATAAAGAAATTTAAAGTTTTACCTGTGTATTTTCTAAAATTTTTTTATAATTCTACTTTCAAAAAATTATGCGATCTTAAAAATTATCTCGCTTTTTTAAATTAATAACAAGTATCGGCGATTATTAACACAATTTTCTATTATAAAACTTTTGAAAAAATAGGACTCCAATTAAATTTAAAATAATTACATCTTTGGCTACTAATATTTTTTACATACAT